TGCACCTTGTAAATTGTATGAAAGTTCAAAAATGTGGGAGGCAGCCTGGGGCAAGCGGGGACTACTGTGCCCAGCTTCCTCCAAGGGAGCCATGTATCCATATGCCTAGCTATGGTGAGCTGCCTCAAAAGTGTCCTGCCACCAGAGCTGGCCGAGGGGCTCTAGCATCAGCCAGATATCAAGGCTGTGCTGAAAGAGAAGGGCCTCACCACAGACACGCTACATCACTGAGAGCCACCTGTATTGGTCAGATGCTTTCGGATTAGGATTTTCACTGGGATAACCCACCATTAGCATACATGCTAAGTTCAGGGACCTAGATGTCTCTCTATGAAAGCATTTGTATGTTATGATGAATGTTAAATTTACAGAAGAAACCACAGAATCTCTCACTGATGAAGAAGAGCAGGATAGTCATGATAAAGTTAACCTACTGCTGAATTTAGATTTGTGCCTAGTGATAAATCAGTACGGGAGGCTATGGGTAGCCGTGCATTCAGAGCCTGAAGATGAAGACTTGGATAATTATGATGGAGAAGAGTAAGATGTGGAAGCACATAAACAAGGACAGGCAGATAGCTCCATATTTTATTCCTATGGAGAAGGATTGTCCCATTTAACAGCAGAAGGACAAGCTATATTGGTGCTATAATAGAAGGGATGTTTCTCAGTCTGTGAGCAGCCAGTATAACATGGCTGGGATCTGGATAGAAGATTCAAAAAGAGATTATGAAAACGGCACAGAGGTATATGCCACACCAACAATTGCCACGCAGTTTGAAGATGCAGCTGTTGACTGCTGAAAATGATTTATGCTTCAAGCCGAAGGTCCTGCTCCGAGCTTCAGGAGAGAACCTGGTGCCTCGTTCCCTGGAGTAAAGCTGTCTTTTTCATTCTGTGAAACTCACTTATACCGGTTTTCCCTCAAGACAAGCTATGCTGAGACAGCAATTTGTTGCTAGCAAAAGAAACTATGATCTTTAGTAACAAAAGTGAATTTGCTTGACCAAGAGATAGTTTCTCCTTCTTCTTCTTCTTCTTCTTCTTCTTCTTCTTCTTCTTCTTCTTCTTCTTCTTCTTCTTCTTCTTCTTCTTCTTCTTCTTCTCCTTCTCCTTCTCCTTCTCCTTCTCCTTCTCCTCCTTCTCCTTCTCCTTCTCCTTCTCCTTCTCCTTCTCCTTCTTCTTCTTCTTCTTCTTCTTCTTCTTCTTCTTCTTCTTCTTCTTTTTTTTGTCTTTCTCTTTTTTATCGGTACTGGGGATCGAACTCACAACTTGCAAAGCAGGTGCTCATGCCACTGAGCTAAATCCCCAGCCCTGATAGTTTCTTCTTTATCCTAAAACTTTCTGTGTCTAGCTACCCTCTGAGGAGGCCTGTGATTCCTACCTTTGCTGTATGTATCAGCTGTATGCTAGCGGGCTGCTGAGGTGAAAATGCAAAGGAGCTATGTGTAAAAATGGAATCTAAAGGTAAGATGCCTTTTTGGAGCCTAGAGATACCCTTACCACTAGAAGAAAATGTAGCAGTCTTTGAAGAATCAGCCTCTGTCATCTTCCATAGGACCAAGAGCATTTTTTTGATTTGGGGCTCAGACTAATTGATTCAGACTGCTGTAGGAAAGTTCTTGGGAGACTGCCAGCTGTAGATCCCACCACTGATACAGTGGGTCTGGAGAGCTGGTGCTCTTTCTGCCGGTTTTCTAGTCTGCCTTCATACAGCCTTTTAGGGTGTGGCCTTTGATTTTTACCCCTTAGTTCATTTTCTTTATCAGAACTGGGACTAGTTCTCAAGGTACTCCTGATGGCAGTTGGTTTGTCTTCATAATAGCTTAACAAATGCCAGCTGTTAAGTGGTGCATGCCTGTAATGCCACCACTCAAGTCTGAGGCCAAAGGGTCACCAGGAGCTCATGGCCAGCCTAAACCACAGAGTGAGACTCTGTCTCAAAAAAAAAAAATGATAAAGAGCTTAACAGAAGCCAGGAATATAGCTCAGTGGCATAGCACCTACCTGGCAAGCACAAGGTCATAGTCCAATACCTAGTACTAGATTTAAAAAAAAGAAGAAGAAGAAGAAGAAGAAGAATGTAACAAGTCTAGATTTTCTAAATTACTGTGCTCTCATATTTATTTATTTATTTTTATTTACTTTTTGAGACAGGGTCTTACTATGTAGCCCAGGCTGGCCTCAAACATATGCTGATCCTTCTGAGTGCTGGGATTACAGACATGCACCACCATGCCCCTCCCCCCTGCTTTTTACTAGTACCCTAATGAGGGTGGAGATAGTAAAGCACTGGAAAGTACTGTTTTTTTGTTTTTTAAGTTGTTTTGTTTTGGTACTACCCACATGCTCTGACTGTGTGCACCCCTGTTCCTATTGTTCATAGGGGTTTTTTTTGGTTGTTGTTTCTTTTTGTTTTTGTTTTTAGATAGGGTCTCACTATGTTGTCCAGACTGGCCTTGAACTCATGAGTTTAAAGGATCCTTCTGCCTGCCTCACCCTCCCTAATTCTGAGATTATAGGCACTTGCCATCATGCTTGGTTTATTTATTTATTTATTGTACTGGGAATTGAACTCAGCACCTCATACTTACCAGGAGGCACTTATGCCACTGAGCTATATCCCCAGCCCCTTATTTCAGTTTTTGTTTATTTTTTGTTAGTATATTATTGCAGTACATAATAATTACACTCCTCATTGGGAGTTATAGATACATAATGCATCTTAATTCTTTTCTCATCCTCTTCCCTTCTTCTCCCTCTATATCTTGGCCCTCTTTCCATTTGCAAAATATCTATCTACCAATTTCCAATTACCTATCTTTTATTTTGCTCTTTATATTTTGGATTCCTCATACAAGAAAAACCATGCCAGCTTGTGTGTCTGATGTACTTTACTTAACATTATAGTCTCAAGGTGCACTCATTTTCTTCCATATTTTGTATTTATTAATTGACAGTTAAACAAATAACTTAGTATGTGATTACAGTCTCAAAAAGGAAGAGAGATAGGTCGAGAAGGAGACCCATATCTTTTTCCCCAGTGCTGGACATTTAGGGCTTCATGCATGCTAAGCAAACATTTTACCCCATGCTATTTCCCAGACCCACATTTTAATTTTTTAATTTTTAACTTTTTGTCTCAAGATAGGGTTTCACTATGCTGTTCAGGCTGAACTTGAACTCACTTTATAGCCTAGGCTGACTTCCAATTTGCAGTGCTCCTCTTGCCTCAGCCTCCTAAGTGCTGGGATTACAGGCATGCACCACCACCCTTGGCCTCATGTATTTTTGAGATGAAAGGACAGACACAAATAAAGAGACATTATGAGATACTAGGAAAACTGAAAATCAGTTTCCTACTCCTCTGAAGTGAAAGGATAGCTTTGGTTTCTGAAAGTTTCAAGTAACAAAAGATTTAGGGTTGCAAGGTGGCCCATTTGATGTGGGATAATAGAAATTTGTGCTGGAACCAGGATGTCTAATTTGTGCCTTTGTTTCAGCAAAAGGGGAAGAAACACACCACTGACTCCGTGGTGGGGCTGATCAAATCCAGAGCCTCTGGCACCAAGGGCGTGACTGGTCAGCTATGGGCATGTAGCAATTAATAATTCTTCTTGTTGTTGGCTCCCCATTGTGGATATTGCCTGTGCTCTGCTATTCTCCAGTTTTCTTATTTTATTGTAACGACAGTGTGATGGACATCCCTAACAAATGATCCTCAATGATTCCTATCCCCTGACATTCACAACCATGTGTGATCTACTACTCTTGAGTGCAAGAAGCACCTGTGACTTACTTCCAATCAAAATATAGGGCAAAGGTGACAGTATAATATTCCTGTCACATATAATACATTATACAAAGCTTTGTCAGGCATGATAGCACAGTCCATAATCCCAGCACTCAGGAGGCTGACACAGGAGGATCACCATGAGTTCGAGGCCTAGACTACATAAGCAAGCTCAAGACCAGCCTGAACTTTAGAGTGAGATCTTGTCTCAAAACAAAACAAAACAAAACAAAATGCTCTATTTTAGGTTTGGGACTGTTGATTAGTGGTGGAGCACTTGTCTAGTATGTAAGGCCCTGAGTTTGATCCCCGCACCACAAAACAAAACTTTGTCTTAGCAGACTGGCGCTTTCTCCAGCTTGCTGAAGTAAGCCCACATGGCAAAGAATTGTAGTAATCGCTACAACTACAGGTGAAATTTGAGGGAACCCTCATTCTGGCTGACAGCACAAATGCAGGCTCTTGGTCATCTGTTCTCAAGAAACAAATCCTGCCAGCAACCTGAATGGACTTGAAGTAGATTCTTCCCCCACTGGAGTCTCCAGGTGAGAATGCAGTCTGGGTAACACCTTGACTGTAGCTTTGTGAGCAACCAAGTGGAAGTTTTAGTTGACCTGTTTTTGGACTCCTGATCTGGGGCCTATGAAATAATAGATGTATTGTCTTACGCATTAAATTTGTAGTAATTTGTTCCATAGCAGAAGACTAATACATGCAGACTTTCTGGAAAAACATCAGAGCTCTCAGGCTCCCTGCATTAGATGTTATATAGAAAGCCCTGTCTGGGAGGGGGGGCCAGGACACAGCTGGGGGAGCAGGTCCCACACAGAGGATGGGCCACACACATCCACTCAGGGTACCCTGAGTTTCAAAGTAAATTGTTCCCAGTACCCTCCCATCAGTCTCCCGAGCTAGGTGAAATCTGGCCCTGGAATCACAGATTGGGCCACCATCTGAATCTCGGCGCTTGGCACGGTGCTTGGCACTCCGTGGCCTCCTAACCGCTGGTCTGATAGCAAAAGAAGAGAAAGAGTCCTGAAGCGCGCATCTGCTGGGCGCTCCCGGGGCTGAGGGGATCTCGGGACCCCGCGCGGGCCAGGCCCGTCCTCACCGGCGCCATCCCGCGCCCCGGCGGAGGGGGCGCTGCGGCGGGAGGCCGCGCGGGCCGGGGGCGGGGCGGGAGGGCGGGGCGAGCGCGCGGGGCGGGACCCAGCCAGCCGGAGAGCGAGCGCCGTTCGCCGCCACCTCTGCTGCTCGGCCCGGTCCCGGAGCGGCCCGGCCGGCCCGCGGGGCACAGCGCCGAGGCCCGCGGCCGGCTGCATGAAGGACTGCGAGTACCAGCAGATCAGCCCCGGGGCCGCCCCGCCTCTCGCCTCCCCCGGGGCACGCCGCCCCGACCCCGGCCCCAGCTCCGCCGCGCCCCTCGCCTCGGGCCCCGGGCCCGCGCCCTCCGCGCCGCGCTGGAGCGGGAGCGGCAGCGGCAGCGGCAGCGGCAGCGGGAGCCTGGGCCGCCGGCCGCGGCGCAAGTGGGAGGTGTTCCCGGGCCGCAACCGCTTCTACTGCGGCGGCCGCCTCATGCTGGCCGGTCACGGCGGTGTCTTCGCGCTCACGCTGCTTCTCATCCTCAGCACCACCATCCTCTTCTTCGTCTTTGAGTGAGTTCGCGACGGCCGCGCGCCCCGCTCCCCGCTGCCCCGGACACCTCGCCGCCCCGGCCCGCGCGTCTCCTGCCGTCTCTTGTCTGCTCGCCTTGGTCCCTTCCACCCCTCCCAGCAGCCCGGTCCTGGCCCGCCCTGCGCTCATCCTTGCCTTCCTGTCCTTGCCAGGCTCGGCGGGGACACTGCCCTCTCGTACTCCGTACGACCCCTACTCTCCCAGAACCTGTCCACCATCCCATCCGCGTCCCATGGACCCCTCTGCGCTCCTCTCCGGACTCCCCACCCCCAGGCATCTTCGCTCCTACCCCTTCCAGACGGCTTCTGAATCTCCGGCGTCGCACAGCACACCATGAATTCTGGGCATCGCTTTGCCTTCTCCAGGTCTCCCCGGGGTCCCATTTCCTTTCCAGACCTCCCTCCTTTCCCTCAGTGCCGCTCATCTGAGGCCCCAAGTCATCCTCCCTCATGTATCTTTGGGCCTTGGGCTTCTTCTGCAGCACCTCCCTTAGTTTCTCTGAGTTTCCTGCCCTTCCCTTAGTCTCCTTGCTCTCTCCCCCACCACTATCGTAGCTTCCTGCCTTTTTTTTCCCTCCTCAACACTGGGGAGCACCCCTCCAGCCCACTGCACATCGCAGACAGCTGCAGTGTCTTGTGATTTTTCAGGCGGCTGCACAGTGCTTTTGTAAGGACAGGTCCTATTTGCCCCCATGGATTTTTATGCCTCCTTTTTTTTTTTTTTTTTTTTTTTTTTTTTTGGTCTTTTTCCTTTTTATCGGTACCAGGGATCGAACTCATGACTGCCTGCTTGCAAGGCAGGCGCTTATGCCACTGAACTAAATCCCCAGCCCTTCCCCCATGGATTTTTGACCTCTTCATCTTCCCAGTGACCAGGGATTGTAGATGCTTAAGCAATTTGCTTATTAGAACCACAGAGGTGCACTGAAAGTTTCTAACCACCCTCCAATTGTAGTCACCTGCAGCTGACTCCTTGGTGTATATCCCCGCCCAGCGTGCACACCCTCCCCTGAACCCCACCTTCTCCTCCTGTTTCTCCCCGTCCCTGTGGTCACCTTCCTCTATTATGCCCTAGTCAAGAGTTTCATCTCTAGACTCAGCAGACCAGCTCCACCACCCACTAATTATGTGACCTCCGGGCCGTAACTTTACTTCTCAGGGGCCTAGTTTCTTCATCTATAAACCGATGCCTTTAGTAATGCCTGCCCCCTGTGGTCATCATGAGGTTAGTATGAGGCCATACACACACACACACACTTTAGCCCAGTAACAAGCACTTGATGTTTGCTGCTCTACTTGTTGTCTTCAGCAAAAAGCACTTCCCAAGGGCACGTGTCCCTGGTGAGATGCCACAGAGACACCAGCTCCCAGGTGCCAGATCCTGTGTCTGCAACCCTGGGTGTCTCATTAAAGCAAGGTGAAGGCTTCCTATAAATTGGCTTCTCCTTTTCACCTTTCCCCTACTCTTCTCTTTCTTTCTGAGTCAGGGTGTATAAAAAGTTCAGGGGTGATTTGCAAGCAGAAGCTGGTGCCCGCAGCCCATAGAATACCCCACCACCACCACCACCAGGTTGAGTTTCAGATCCACCTAGCCCAGCCAGCCCCATGGGCCATGTTATGGAAGCACCTTTTTCAGAGCTCACACACCTCCCCTGCTGTGGCTCAGGTGGGAGGAAGCTGTGCTTGCCATGGTTGGCCCTGTGACCCTGAAGTGAGATTCAGTCAGTTCAGAAGCTGGACCTTCTCTGGCTTTACTGCTAATTGATTTTTCCCCATCTAGGGAGGAAGTCAGGTGAGAGCTTTTGAATCATTTTCCCTTTTGTCTCTTCTCATCCTTATCTGGTGGATTTTGCAGTAGGGTTTGACTGGGGCCTAGAGTTCCCCTGGGTCCAGACTGGTACAAAAGCCCAGTGAGGACCTGGATTGGTAGAAATGCCCTTACTGAGGACCAGAAGGTTAAGAGATGGTACCAATGGCTTTCTCAGACCTTCCCGATTTCTTATTTGGTGGATTGTGGTACAGGCCTCCCAGCAGGATCCCGGGCCTCTGTCACTTCCTACCCCCTCAGAGCAGCCAGTGTATGCCATTCAGATCCAAGTCAGATCCCAGTCCTGCCCATTCTCCAATAAAGAGCTAACCTCTGAAAGTGGGCTTCCTCTGGTCCTGGTCCCTGTCTGTTTACCCCAGCTTCACTGCTGCACATTCCTCTTTAGGTTTACCAGGCTGCTGAGCACTCCTACCACAGGGCCTTTGCACTGTTTTGAACACTCTTCCTTCTGGTAGCCTCATGCCCCACTCTTCCTGTTCGTCCATACCATATATATACTGTTTGGTAGTTTCTTGCTGCTGTTGTGCATGAGAGCGGGGTATTCTTGCTATTGAAACCTTAGTGCCTAGAACCAGACCCTGGCATGCAGTGGGTGCTCAGTACAGCAAATACTTGCTGGATGAATGAACAGATCATTTGCTGGGAGCTCAGAGACCCTGCTCTGTCATTGGCTGGCTAATCTCCCTTGGGAAAATGTAGAAGCTAGGGCTTGGTGTTTCCTGAAAATCTTTTAGGTCTCAGACTTCAAGTCTTCTCTATCCCCAGAAGAACTTTGATTGCTTTTGTTTGCTTGTGTTGTTCTGTTGTTTGGAGATAGGGTCTTGAGCTATAGTCTTGCTAGGTGGCCCAGGCTATCCTCCAGTCATGATCCTCCTGTCTCAGTCACTGAGTGCTGGGGTTACAAGTGTGCACCACCATGCCTGGGTAAGAAGTATGGTTATACGTGAACTGGATGAGTTGTTCTGTGGGTCACACTGCCAGGCTGGTTCTATTTTGAGGGTCAGATCTAGGAAGAGTGAGAAGTGCAGAGCGGAGTGTGGCCCACTGGGCAGCGTGGGCCTTGGCTTTTCCTACTTCAGAGGGAAGAAGCCTCCCTGGAGGCCAGAGCATCTGAAGATGGAGGTTTGGAATTTGCTGCCTGCTTCTGTGCTGGCTCCCGGAACCTTGGGTGTCTCAGTTCTCCCTGTAGTCAGTCATCTCTCAGACAGCAGCTCCCAACCCAGCAGGTCTGCTCTGGCTCCAGGAGGGAGGGTAGCAAATGACAGTAGTTAAAATAGAGTATGAGATGGATAAATAAATAGAGACATAGAGACACAGATAGATAGATAGATAATGGGCCTCAAAATCAGACCTAGTTTGAGTCTCACTTTTAGCACTCCTGAGCTGTGTGACCTTGGGCAGATTACTTAAGCTCTCTGAGCTTTTGTATCCTCATCTGTAAAGTGAGGTGCATAATTTCAGAAGGTCACAGTAAAGAAACAATGAGAAGGTGCATATGACTTGCTTAGTGTGAAACCTGGCACACAGGAACAGTCCAGTCTGTGGTTCAAGTTTTGTTCATGATAACTTAGGGATGGTAGTGATATGTGTATATAACAAGCTTTAAAGGAGGGTAGCTATGTTCTGTGCTCTGGCAGGAATGAACACAGTTCATTAGTTTTTCAGTTATTTACTGAGTACCTTCTTGGTCCAGGTGCACATTTGCTGTGTGCTGGGAATGTACAGTGAATAAGGAGGTATGGTGTATCCTCAGAGGAGCTCGTGGCCTGGTAGTGGAAGAAGTACCCAGCATATCAGCTATTAATGTTTTAGTGAATGCCATGCAGGAATTTAGGAGTATTAGGGAGGTCTGCTGTGTTTAGAGTTGTCAGTGAAGGTTCTTCTGAGGAAGGATGAATATTCTAGAGGAAAGGAACAGCATATGCAAAGGCCCTGAAGTGCATAAGAGTTAGATTTGCTCTGGGACTGGTTTTGAAGCTTTTGTGAAGGGAGTAAAGGTAGTAGGGAGAGTTTCATGGAATGAGATTGGAAAAACCCTTCAGTAGGTCCAGGTTGTACCTGGCCTACAAGGTTGTGGTATGGAGTTCGAATTTTATTCAAAATTTATGAAGTTGAGCTTAGTAGTACATTCCTGTGATCCCAGCAACTTGGGAGACTGAGGCAGGAGTATGGCAAGTTTGATGCCAGCCTTGACAACTCACTGAGGTCTGTTGCAAAATAAAATAAAAAAGGTTGGAAATGGATTATGGTGGCACATACCTGTAATCCCAGCCCTCTACGAGGCTGAGGCAGGAGGATTACAAGTGCTAGCCCAGCCTGGGAAATTAATGATTTAGGAAGACTGTCTAAAAATAAAAAACAAAAAAGGACTCAGGATGTAGCTCTGTGCAGAGACCCTGGGTTCAATCCCCTGAGCCACTAAACAAATAAACAGACATGTGAACAAACAAACAAACAAACAGGATTGAAAGTGTAGCTCACTAAGGAGTAATAAAATCCAAGATGTGTAAATTTTGTTGTAAAAAAGAGAGGGAAAAAAAAAAAAAGAAAAAGAGCTCTAACGGATATAACAGCAAGTGTGTTTGGGGGTGTTAAATAGCTGACTTTATCAATGTTTTTGGAACATTGAACACAGCTGTTTGCAGTCTCCCTGTTTGAATGTCCACCTTGTGTTCTTTGATACTGTGATTTGAGGAACTATTTTCAAGAAGATAGTGTGTAATCTACTAGCAGGTGATTTCTTACTGTTATGTTTTTTTGTTTTGTTTTGTTTTGTTTTGTTTTGTAGTTCTGTATTGCGTGTACCCTTACGCCGCTTTGGTTTGTTTTGTGTTTTTCTCTTTTTCCTCTTAAATTAAAAAAAAATAATAAATTAAAAAGAAAGTGTAGCTCAGTAGTACAGCACCCTTGTGTCAATCCCCAGTATGGCAAAAAAACCCACAAAACTCCCTCAAACCCACCATATATATAAAACGGGAAGCTTTGTAAGAGTGTCAAGCAGGGATTTGATTTACATTTCCAAAATGTGACTCTGGCCTCTGGGCAGTCAGTGGCATGACAACAGAGAAGACTTGCTTTAGAGGGCCCCAGTGGCTTTATTCCATCTTTAAGCCGAGTCCCCACCATGTCTAGAACTTGTAGAATGTTCCAGCCTTGAGACAGGAGGGGGCTTGAAGAGGATGTGGAGCCTGTGCAGACAACCTGCCGGAGGAGAGGGGGCCTGGGCACCCAGCAGGCCTAGGTTGTTTTCTGAACCACCTCGGGCCAGGGACCCCAACAAACTCCTTAAGGTTACATCCCCGTGTGACAGTGGCAGTGGCTGAACTCACCGCACTGCTTATTCTTCCACATTATCTCCTCCAAGGACCCTCTCCTGTCCTCTGTCATCTCCTCGCCCTGGGAGAGCACACATCTGTTACGGTCCCCACTAGACCATGTGCCACGTGGGGGAGGGACTTTTATCCTATTTGTGGCCATTATTCCTGCCACTTATTGAAAGTGTTGCTTAGCACAAAAGAGAACCCAGTAAATTTTTGTAGAGTGAGTGACAAAATGAATGATTCAGTGAGCACTGCTATGGTTCATCTCAGGCAATGATCCACCTCATTGCGGGTAGCTGCCTGGAGCTCTGGGTTTAGAGGGATTTGGAGGCTGCATCTATGTGCTGAGGTCGAGGGTTGGGGTCGGGGCTGGGGATTTAGCTCAGTGGCTTAAGCGCCTGCCTGGCAAGCATGAGGTCCCTGGTACAAAAAAAAAAAAAAAAAAAAAAAAAAGCATTGGGGTCAAAGCTGGTGCAGGGATGCAACTATAGACCTGGATATTTAGGAGCCTGAGGTAGAAGGATTGCTTGAACCTAAGAGTTTGGGACCAGTCTGGGCAATGTAGCAAAATGAAACCCTGAAATTGTCTCTTAAAAAGAAAGAATGCTAGTGACAGGCCTATAATCCCAGCACTCAGGAGGCTGAGGCAGGAAGATCATCACAAGTGCAAAGCCAGCTTGGACTACATAGGGAGACCTTGTACTCTGCCCCCCTACAAAAAAAAAGGAGTGCTGAGATCTGTTGGTCACATCTGCCTGCCCTGGGCTGGGTGTGTCTGTACAAGGACTAATTAGTGATGTTTGGCCCGGGCACTTCTTGCCCTCACCAAGTGGCTTGGCTATGTGGGGAGAGGTCTAGGAGCCTTGGGGATGTCTGCTAATCGCTCTTTCTCTGTCTCTCCTTCTAGCTGTCCTTACCTGGCCAACAAGCTGACCCTCGCCATTCCCATCATTGCTGCTGTCCTCTTCTTCTTTGTCATGAGCTGCCTGCTGCAGACGAGTTTCACGGACCCTGGGATCCTGCCTCGGGCTACACTCTGTGAAGCAGCTGCCCTGGAGAAACAGATCGGTGAGGCTTCCACTCCCAGCTAAAGCTGTCTCCGCTGCTCCCCACTTCAGGACTAGGGAGGAGCCCTGATTTCCTCTTCCTACATTTTGCTAGGGACTGGGGATAGCGTAGTGAACAAGGCAGGCTGGAGCTGACACTGGAGCAGAGAGAGGCAGATGATAAATGATCATATAAATATGCAAGAAATGCTAGCAGTGAAGGCTGTGCTGGCAGCCAGCATAAAACCAGGTGCTTCCTAGGCATTGTTTTAAGCTCTTTATAACTTGATCTTATTGAATCCCTCTTGAATCCTATGAGGTAGGTACTGCTGTTATCCCCTTTTGCTGATTGATTTAATTGGGGCAGAGATGTTAAGTAAATGGTCCAAGATCACATAGTAAGTAGAAGATTGAGATCAAGACCTAAGCAGTCTGGCTAGAACCCCTGCTTTAAAACATTTATGTACCCTCATTTATTCAGTCATCAAACATTTACTGTGTACCAGGTACTTTTCTAGATGCTGATGCTGGGGCAGTGGTGACATTCTAGGGGAGGAGAGAAACCATAAACAAATGATTAGATATCTAGGTTGTTAGAAGAAAACAGAGAAAATAAGAGCTAGAGGGGAACAACTGGCCTCCAGATTGGCCAAAGGAGGTCCTGTGATGGTGGTAACCTCTGAGCAAAGAGGCCGAGGCCTACAGCCTGGATGGCATGGGCTGGGGTCTGAGAGAAGACAGGGTTGCAGTAGATGTGGGGCAGGGCTTGTTTAGTCTGGGTAGTCAAGGCAGGCTGTGTGCCCCAAATGTTGTGGTAGGAAGACAAGGATCTGCACAATAGAAAAGGAAAAAGCCCAGAGTGGTGAACAGGTCGGCAGGGCCTGAGGACCAGTGGAAAGGTTTGTGCAGAGGGGCTGGGGATTTAGCTCAGCGGCATAAGTGCCTGTTTTGTAAGTGTGCGGTTGTGAGTTCGATCCTGGTACCTATAAAAAAGAAAAAGACAAAAAAAAAGAAAGGTTTGTGCAGCTGGTTTGTAGGCACCCCAGGTGGCCCTTGATTCTTCCTAGACTGCTGCCTGGGTTCTCCTAGGCTGCTGGGTCCCAGGGCAGGCTGAGGCCTTAATCTCAGCCTGCCCCACCCCTGCTCCTTCCTGCTGAGGAGCAACAGGGTAGTTTCACACCTCTGGTTTCCGGTCTGCGGTCTGCTCCTTCCCCTAACTGCTGGTGTTTACACAGGCTTTTAAATGCCCAGCTGGCCCTGAAGAGATGTAGTGGCCGGTAAATGTCAGAGCCCTGCTGCATCCATCACTAGAAATCATCTCAGTAATTCTCTAGAGCAGCTTGGAGGAGACTGGCAGGAATAGGATGTTCTCTGGAACCTGGGCTGTTCTTTGTCACCTTCCTGTGCCCAGCTGTCCCTAGCTACATCCATGGCAATTGCCTTCATCTCCATCTTGCCACCATACAACTTCCTTCTCTCCCACACCCCAGGCTAGCAGGCCCAAGGTTCAGCTCCTCAGCACCCTTCCGTGGACCTGATCAGGTTTACCTGGCAGCTGTGATGACTCGGCACCTGCCCGTTTCTCCTCTCCTTCGTGTCAGGGCTAATTGCGAGGCAGGATTAGTGTCCAGCTTAGACTCAGGGCTTGGGGCAGCCTGGAATCCTCTGGCCTCCTGTGAGCTGTGCAGTAATGATGACAGCAGTAATCCCTGTGTTTGGAGAGAGCTGGACCGAGCCCTCTGTGCATCCCACCCGCTATCCCTCCCAGCCTGTGGTGCAGTCAGCCTGGTGTATGATGCAGGCTCTAAGCCGGCAGTCACAGGGCAGGGATAGGAGAAGTGGTGTGGAGCGGGTACCCTCCCTCCCAGGCACCTTGCTCTGCCTTTGGAGAGGGCAGCAGAGACTCATCCCCGTTGTCTTTCTATTTCCACACTGGCGTCTTGCACCTGGAGCCCTGTGGAGCCAGCCCCTCTGTCACAGTCCCACTGCCTTCTTCCTTCTCTATCCCCTGTGCTGCATGGTCAGTACTGCCTCATGCTTCCCCGTGCTGTGTGGGACCTTGTCATCATGTAGTGATGTTGGCTGAAAGGGTGGATGAATGACTGAAGAACATGCTGCCCCCAAGGGCCATGCTGAACGGTTGTCAGGGTGTCTCCAGCTGTGCCAGGTGGAAGTGAGTCTGTGCTGTTCTTACACACAGGGTGAGGACTGCTGTGTGCCTGCCCTCTGCAGCTTTCCAGCCTAGGCCAGTTCAGGGTGGAAGGCCTGACTGGGTGAGGCCAAGGTTTAGAAGGTGATCAGAGGGATCAGGAGTAACCACCACTTGGAGAACCTGCAAAGGTGACAGTTGAGCCAGCGTAGAAGTTTGGGTGGAGTTGACTTGTACAGAACAAAGAGAAGGCAGAAGTGGCAGGAGGCAGGACAGGTATGGGCATTGAGCAGGCCATGTGGGCTGAATGTTTGGAGCATTGTGAGAATCAGATTTCCCTCAGAAGCTTGGAGTCAGTCTTGTAGGTGTCATAATGTCAGGACTTAAGGCTTTCCTTTTTTTTTTTTTTTTTTTTTTCTGGTTCTGGGAATCAAACTCAGGACCTTGTGCTTGCCAGGCAGGCTCTGTACCTCTGTGCAATATGACCAGCCCCTAAGACTTTCCTTTGAAAACAATTACCAAGTGTTTTTGTTTGTTTGTTTGTTTTGAGACAAGGTATTGCTATGTAGTGGCCTTGAACTCACTATGTAGCCCAAGTTGCCCTGGAACTTGAGGTGGCTTTGGTACCTCAGCCACCTGAGGTACGCCCAGCTAAACAACTCACTTTTAAACACAGACATCTACCCATAATTATATTTGAGTCAGTGGTGGACCTCGTGTTTGTCTGTAGTCCTATGAGATAATATTGCTTGATGGTGACGTGGCCCTTAGTGTGTACAAGCATACTGTGGTGATGTTTGGCATAAGGAGGAACTCACATGACACAATCACACATTTCTCAGAATTTATCTCTATCCTTGGGCAATGAGTAACTGTATTTTAAAAAGAAAACTTGTATCACTTCTGTAAGTGGAAAACCACTTTGCTCTGGTAGAAGATACTCTACTCCCACAGCAAAAACAACAATGTTACAGCTCTCCTGCTGGGGAAAGGGTACCTTTGAGGCTTGTGAGGTTCTCAGTGTTAGGCAGTAAAAATTGAGACTTGGCTTTGAGGTAGTCAAAGGCTTGACAGAATTGGGAAGGGAATAATTTTCTTATTGCACGATTCACAGCTGCTTAGTAGGAAACAAATTATCTTCCATCCTCCTGAACCTGCCCCCTGCTGGACAGGCTGGCCGTAGGCCCCCAC